AAAGGGATTCTAACTGAAGCCTTACCATACTATTAAAAACTTCTAATCTCGGCTATGTGAATCTAACTAGTTACGAAGACAATACAAGTTTCCCAGGACATTCTAGCAGCCTTTTGAAATACAGATGACTATCTAATACGTACCTATATAAGCAATGGGCAGCTGACAGAACCCATTCTGCAGAGATGATGCTCCCGCCACAAAAATGAAAACCCCTGTAGTTCAGGGAAACGATGAATGGCCAGTCCTTCCTGACTGCAATCGTACCGCCTACTATTCGTGAATCCATGTGGCCCTGCTCTTGCTCCTGCTTCAGGAACCTTTGGAACATCTGCTCCCAGTGAGCTTCGTCGTCCTGCTTCGCGTCCTGTAGTTCAAGCGTTGTGGGGCTCGCCGGCGGGACTACGGCGCCAAACGAGCTATTGTTCATGCCTGAGGGAGCTAGGGATGACAAAGGTACGTATGAGACACACCCGTCAGTTTGAGGAAAGTGTTGAAATCTGTACAGAAAAAATAACCTAAGCATGACCATGCACATGCACATGCACATGCACATGCACATGCACACACACACTGCTTGTACATCTTTATGTATGTATTTATGTATGTAAGTTGCAACCTAGCCAACAACAAAGATTTATAAACAAATACAGGATGAGTTGGAAAGAAACGCATACAATAAATGTGTTAAAAAAACAAGGTTTCCCGACTTTCTTGATGAATAGTAAGTTCAAGGAAGTCAATGCGGTTTTCAATTGGGTTTCGTACTTACTGTCGCCGGCGTCCCTGCGTGTTCTTCCGTAACGCCCGCAAGGCTGAGCGCACTTCAAGTAACCAATGAGGGACGAGCGACAGGATGAAACTTCAAGTTGTCCTTGTAAATTCAGTTGTAAGAAGTCTGCTTGAGACGGCCATTTTGACGACATATGTCTATGGATATTTATGAATCTGATAGTTTCTTTGCCGCATCTGTTAGGAAGAAAAAGATAGGCGATTCTGACAACAGAAGGTAAAACTGGGCATTTGCATATGTGACAAGTTTACGAGGTCATTTCAGATATCTGATTTGGACCTAATTGGACCTCTTTGCGTTCTCGTGTGATGAAATACCTTATTTATTTTAAGTCGCAAAGCTCTGAGGTATCATTTACATATACACTAGTCTGACATTCGCACAAATCCATTGAACTAAGAAGTTCGTCTTTTGAAATGAATTCGTCAGAAATACATAATGTGTAATAGTACTAAACTCAAAAAAATGGGAGGGGGGGGGATTTCATTGCTTTAGAGTCCTACATCACTGTCCTTAAATGGAGCACAAGAAAGATAACAAAATTAATTTTCGCAGACTTCATGGTATTAGAAGAGTTTCCCATCCCGCAAAGTGCTGAGGTTTTCTTTTACAGAAAACGCTTTCAATTGGAGGATAGACTAAATTACTATTTTTCTAATAGCGTTAACGGTATTCATAGGAAGTTTTTGAAACAAACGTACCTAGAACTCCCGGCTATATCCTGACATAGATCACCGAGAAATTTACGATGTTGGTAGTAGCTGGTACGTGAGAGTATTGCGAAACACATCATATGCCATTTGTTATTTCTCTTCACTTGGACGTAACCCTTCCTACGAACAGGCTCGTGCTCCTGTAGAAAGAGTCGTGTACATTTATCAAGTGCATATGAAATGATTACAAAATCGGTTTTATCTATTGGAAAGCATTACGCATTTCCACTCGTTTATATACCAGAAAAAAAGAATAACTTAGATAATGTCTTCAAACTTACCTACACTTACCCTCCGTCCTTGACCTCGTTTTCAACCTTACCTAACCCTCACCTACTCTGCCTTAAGCTTCGCCCCTCGGCTCAGAGTCCACATTTGAGACTGACTTCAGTTTCGCCCTCGAATTACACCCTGGCACTGGGCTTGTGAACACGTGACAGAAACTCATCCACCCAACCATATTTCACACAATAACACTCTCGTCATCTGTGTTTTTGTTTGCCTTGCAATATAAGTAGACATAGGAGTACCAACCTTGTAATTGTTCAGGTCACTAATTAAACGACTGCAAAGGTGTTCATCGCTGCCATTGTCGCAATCAGGTCGTCCATCGCACACTCGAGTGTCGGATAGACAGCGAGGTCGTGAGTTGACGGTGCAAGATAATTCTTTTCCATAACAAACTAAAATGGTAAGTATGGTCAATACACCCAATCAATGTGTATGTGCACTATTTATAAATATATATAAACATAAATATATATATACATAAATATATATAAACATAAATATATAAATATATATATATAAATATATAAATATATATATATATAAATATATAAATATATATATATATAAATATATAAATATATAAATATATAAAATATATAAATATATAAATATATAAATATATAATATATATAAATATAAATATATATATAATAAATATATATAAAATATATATATATATAAATATATAAATATATATATAATAAATATATAAATATATATATATATAATATATAATATATAAATATATAATATATATAAATATATAAATATATATAAATATAAATATATATAAATATATAAATATATATAAATATATAATATATATAAATATAATATATATATATAAATATATAAATATATATAAATATATAATATATAAATATATATAAATATATAAATATATAAATATATATAAATATATAAATATATAAATATATAATATATATATAAATATAAATATATATAAATATATATATATATATAAATATATAAATATATATATATATAAATATATATAATATAATATATATAAATATATAATATATATAATATATAAATATATAAATATATAATATATATAAATATAAATATATATAAATATAAATATATATAAATATAAATATATATAAATATAAATATATATAAATATAAATATATATACATATACATATATATAAATATAAATATATATAAATATAAATATATATAAATATAAATATATATAAATATAAATATATATAAATATAAATATATATAAATATAAATATATATAAATATAAATATATATAAATATAAATATAAATATATATAAATATAAATATAAATATATATAAATATAAATATAAATATATATAAATATAAATATAAATATATATAAATATAAATATAAATATATATAAATATAAATATAAATATATATAAATATAAATATAAATATATATAAATATAAATATAAATATATATAAATATAAATATAAATATATATAAATATAAATATAAATATATATAAATATAAATATAAATATATATAAATATAAATATAAATATATATAAATATAAATATAAATATATATAAATATAAATATAAATATATATAAATATAAATATAAATATATATAAATATAAATATAAATATATATAAATATAAATATAAATATATATAAATATAAATATAAATATATATAAATATAAATATAAATATATATAAATATAAATATAAATATATATAAATATAAATATAAATATATATACATATACATATACATATATATACATATAAATATAAATATATATACATATACATATAAATATATATAAATATAAATATAAATATATATAAATATAAATATAAATATATATAAATATAAATATAAATATATATAAATATAAATATAAATATATATAAATATAAATATAAATATATATAAATATAAATATAAATATATATAAATATAAATATAAATATATATAAATATAAATATAAATATATATAAATATAAATATAAATATATATAAATATAAATATAAATATATATAAATATAAATATAAATATATATAAATATAAATATAAATATATATAAATATAAATATAAATATATATAAATATAAATATAAATATATATAAATATAAATATAAATATATATAAATATAAATATAAATATATATAAATATAAATATAAATATATATAAATATAAATATAAATATATATAAATATAAATATAAATATATATAAATATAAATATAAATATATATAAATATAAATATAAATATATATAAATATAAATATAAATATATATAAATATAAATATAAATATATATAAATATAAATATAAATATATATAAATATAAATATAAATATATATAAATATAAATATAAATATATATAAATATAAATATAAATATATATAAATATAAATATAAATATATATAAATATAAATATATATAAATATAAATATATATAAATATAAATATATATAAATATAAATATATATAAATATAAATATATATAAATATATATATATATAAATATAAATATATATAAATATAAATATATATAAATATAAATATATATAAATATAAATATATATAAATATAAATATATATAAATATAAATATATATAAATATAAATATATATAAATATAAATATATATAAATATAAATATATATAAATATAAATATATATAAATATAAATATATATAAATATAAATATATATAAATATAAATATATATAAATATAAATATATATAAATATAAATATATATAAATATAAATATATATAAATATAAATATATATAAATATAAATATATATAAATATAAATATATATAAATATAAATATATATAAATATAAATATATATAAATATAAATATATATAAATATAAATATATATAAATATAAATATATATAAATATAAATATATATAAATATAAATATATATAAATATAAATATATATAAATATAAATATATATAAATATAAATATATATAAATATAAATATATATAAATATAAATATATATAAATATAAATATATATAAATATAAATATATATAAATATAAATATATATAAATATAAATATATATAAATATAAATATATATAAATATAAATATATATAAATATAAATATATATAAATATAAATATATATAAATATAAATATATATAAATATAAATATATATAAATATAAATATATATAAATATAAATATATATAAATATAAATATATATAAATATAAATATATATAAATATAAATATATATAAATATAAATATATATAAATATAAATATATATAAATATAAATATATATAAATATAAATATATATAAATATAAATATATATAAATATAAATATATATAAATATAAATATATATAAATATACATATATATAAATATGCATATATATAAATATAAATATATATAAATATAAATATATATAAATATAAATATATATAAATATAAATATATATAAATATAAATATATATAAATATAAATATATATAAATATAAATATATATAAATATAAATATATATAAATATAAATATATATAAATATAAATATATATAAATATAAATATATATAAATATAAATATATATAAATATAAATATATATAAATATAAATATATATAAATATAAATATATATAAATATAAATATATATAAATATAAATATATATAAATATAAATATATATAAATATAAATATATATAAATATAAATATATATAAATATAAATATATATAAATATAAATATATATAAATATAAATATATATACATATATATATATATACATATACATATATATACATATACATATATATACATATACATATATATAAATATACATATATATAAATATAAATATATATAAATATAAATATATATAAATATAAATATATATAAATATAAATATATATAAATATAAATATATATAAATATAAATATATATAAATATAAATATATATAAATATAAATATATATAAATATAAATATATATAAATATAAATATATATAAATATAAATATATATAAATATAAATATATAAATATAAATATATAAATATAAATATATAAATATAAATATATAAATATATAAATATATAAATATATATATATCTATCTATATCTATATCTATATCTATATCTATATCTATATCTATATCTATATCTCTATCTCTATCTCTATCTCTATCTCTATCTCTATCTCTATCTCTATCTCTATCTATCTCTATCTCTATCTATCTCTATCTCTATCTATCTCTATCTATCTCTATCTATCTCTATCTATCTCTATCTATCTCTATCTATCTATATCTATCTATATCTATCTATATCTATCTATATCTATCTATATCTATCTATATCTATCTATATCTATTTATATCTATTTATATTTATATTTATATTTATATTTATATTTATATTTATATTTATATTTATATTTATATATGTATGTGCATATATATATGTATGTGCATATATATATGTATGTGCATATATGTATGTGCATATATATATGTATGTGCATATAGAGACGGACACGGAGGGAGAGAGAGAGGGGGGGAGGGAGGTAGAGACGGACACGGAGGGAGAGAGAGAGGGGGGGAGGGAGGTAGAGACGGACACGGAGGGAGAGAGAGAGGGGGGGAGGGAGGTAGAGACGGACACGGAGGGAGAGAGAGAGGGGGGGAGGGAGGTAGAGACGGACACGGAGGGAGAGAGAGAGGGGGGGAGGGAGGTAGAGACGGACACGGAGGGAGAGAGAGAGGGGGGGGAGACGATGAGAGAGAGGGGGGGGAGACGATGAGAGAGAGGGGGGGGAGACGATGAGAGAGAGGGGGGGGAGACGATGAGAGAGAGGGGGGGGAGACGATGAGAGAGAGGGGGGGGAGACGATGAGAGAGAGGGGGGGGAGACGATGAGAGAGAGGGGGGGGAGACGATGAGAGAGAGGGGGGGGAGACGATGAGAGAGAGGGGGGGGAGACGATGAGAGAGAGGGGGGGAGACGATGAGAGAGAGGGGGGGAGACGATGAGAGAGAGGGGGGGGAGACGATGAGAGAGAGGGGGGGGGAGACGATGAGAGAGAGGGGGGGGAGACGATGAGAGAGGGGGGGGGGAGACGATGAGAGAGGGGGGGGGAGACGATGAGAGAGGAGTTGTCAGTCTGGGGGAGGGGTTGGAAAGACGGGGAGAGAGGGAGACGGAGAGGAAGAAAGGTATGGATAAAATTCCCGAGGATTATCGCCCCCCGGTTTGGTTGACATGAAAGTGGATGAATAAAAAATAAACTGAAGGTTGCATAATGGATACTAGGAATTATAAATAATCTGTGTCGTCCTGCGTGAACAGTTAACACATGGCTGTTGCTTACCTCCGCATCCGCGCTCATCAGCAAAGTCCAGGCAGTCGATTTCCTCATCGCAGCGGAATTTGACACCCGGGGGGAAAGAGCAGGCCTCTGGAAGTGTGGCAGGATTTCAGTTCAAATCTACAAATTGAGTTATGAGTTGTCAGTCTGCATAGCCAGTATATTGGTTCATGAATGACCTGGAATTGACGGAAAAATGAAAAAAAAAAAAAAAATTCTCACTGGCTTTTGTCAGGGAATGGAATCTCACGGCACTGACAAATACCCAGTATATTACTGAGAACGACGCAGCCTTCAGAGACCACGTCCCAAAACCAGTGTATCTTGCGAACCCAAAAATACAAATCTAACTTTGCCTACCCTCTATTCCACAAACGGGGGGGGGGTGTACCCCCATCCACTTTATTGACACCGTGCCACAGAAAATTACAGAAAATATTAAGAACTCTGGCGGTGGTGTGAAGGTGTTGGGTCTCTCAGCGGTGATGTGCAGCGAATATTTTCATAATTTCGCGATGAATATGAAGTTGCAACAGCTGTATCGGTGTTGTTTTTGTGCTCTCTATGATGACGGTGTCCATCTCCCTTATCTCTTCGTTCACGCTAAAATTAACCGATACTCTTTTTCACAACCGTTTAGTAATACAATTACCTGACAGACGCAGGAATGACTTATGCGGTCAGAGTAGGGTTTATCATCGTAATGTACACGCAGTGAAGGGTTTCGAAAAAGATGTGTGGATCATCTCTATCAAGTATCGACCAAGAATCTTTTGCCATAGATGGAAAGTGTTTTCGTTGACGCCAAGGTAATCATTCCATACCCTTTTCTTAATTCCTGATTGCCATCTACTAAATACACTTTAATAAGCGTCATTGAAATAAAACCAGTTCTATGCTCAGACCAACGACATACTAACCTACTGCACGCGCACAGAAGCAAGCTGATGTTTTTGGCCTTATTCTTGAAAATGCTTCTATAATGGATGCAAGAGAACGACCTATTCGTATTGCCTTACTCTTTGCTATTAATCTACTACTTTTGTTACCCCCCCCCCATCCATGTTTACACAGAATTACCAATTTTTCATTCCTGTAATGACTTATCGAAGTTTCGGTATTGTTTCAGTTTCCCTACATACATGTAGTACAAGATACGAATTGCCTCTAATGGACTGAATGACCCAAAAAGATTAATATTACCGACGCACAGAGATAGAGGGAAATGACCATCGCCACCATATACAGCATAAGAAATGGTCAGAGAACACAGGCACAGCTGCTGCGACTTCATATTTACCGCGAAATTACGAAAATATTCGCTGCACAACGATACAAGATATTTATCTGACCAGTTTCGATTATACCTTCTTCGGAAATACATGAATTTCTGGGAAAGATACAATCAAAATCGGCCAAATACCTCTTTTATTGTAAAGATATTCATTCGGGAAAGGTTAAGCTTGGATTTTTGTGTTCGTATGGTACCCTGGTTTTGGAACTTTTACAGTTATGACAATTGGGACTTCCAGATTTATATCAGATTTATTCTCGTGTGATGAGAGCGAATCTGATGATTTGCGTCGCATTCACAGTCCACAATCACGATGTCCAAATAGCAGGGGAGGGCATGAAGTATATGGGCGAATCATGGGGGGGGGGGAACCGGCTGAATTAAGAATATAGAATGAGAAAGTGGGTAATGCTGGCTTTACGCAAAGTTACGCGAATCTTTATTTTCAATAGCAAATGATATAAATGAAAGGGGAAAATTTTGACAATCAAATTACAAGAAAAAAAAAAGACCTTTCATATGTGGCAAACGAATCTGAAATAAAGGAGATACACGACAGAAGAGTAAAAATCGACCCATCTTTTTCAAAGTCCTCACTGGGTTTACCTGGCAAAGATTAAAACAAATGTGACCTAACTCATTGCTACAATCTGTCAAGTAGTTCATGTGCTACTACTGAGCCCATCAAGTGCCTCAAATGCCGAAGCAATTAGAAACCAAGCAATTCAGGTAACAGACAGAAATGAAGAAGAGTTTGGTGTTTCACTATATAAATGAATTTAGTTTAACCCTGGGTTCCAGGTGGTAGAGCCCCCTGGCTAGGAAATATGCAAAGGGAGCAAATCACCCGGGCTAGAGAATATTTAGATAGTAGTGTACAAATCCCATGGGGTTAAGGTTAGGTTAGTTTATTGCTGAGGACATTGATGATATCTGGTTGATTTTTATGGAACGATGGGTTTTGATTTCCGTTTTACCCCTTAATTTCCCCGCTTTAATTCACGCCTTCCCTTGCTATGCATACTTACCACATCAATTACCACATTGTCGGCTGGTGAATGCGACAAATGATCATCAGATCTGTTCTCATCACACGAGAATAGAGCTGATATAAATATTGTCAGGGAACACCCGATTTTTAAAAAGCTATGCAGACGCGCCAACTTTCGAAAAACTACTGGAATTAAACCCATCATTCGGCAAGATCTACGGGTTTCACATAATCCAAAAAAACGTGTGGCAGTCATACAATACGTCCGAACCAATAAACCACATTAACCTTATCTCTGAGATTTATATACTACGATATATTTCCTGGACATTGAGCTCTGCTCCCTGGTACCCCATGGTATTATATGCGTCTAGACTGGGAGCTATGACACCTTGAGTCCCGTGGGTTTAATACAATACAATCTATATATTCCCTAGCCAGGGAGCTCTACCCCGTGGACCCCCAGGGTAAAACCACATACCTTTATATAGCGAAATACCAAACTTTTCCTACCTTTCGTCTATGGTCTGAATTCACTATATGGTTTTAAGAAGGACCCGGAATCGACGCAACACACAAACGGAGGTCAGAAACGTTTCGTTTTGTCAGGGTAAACCATATATCTCTTTATAACAAAACGCTAAACTTTCGCTTGCTTCCGTCTGAACTGCCTGGTTTATAAATTTATTTCGGCAATTGGGGCACTTGATGTCTCATGTCAAGCTGTGATCGATATTTTAAAAATCGCCATTCGACATCCCTTCCTCCTTTTTGTAAACAAAACAATGGTACGATTTAATTGTTCACTTTATTGTAACATCTTATTTTCGTACGTATATAAAGACCGCATAAACTTACATGGAGACTGTTTCTGCCTAAAATAACATGACATTACAAGATAATGGACACTGGACAGTGTGAAGCAATGCAGGTAAATCTGCAGTGTCTTCAATATTTACCGGGAAATGGCCTGCATGGCACCACTCTGAGACAAAGTCCCCATCCATGCTTACCTTGCAAGGACCAAAACAAATTTAATGTGTAACTCCATGTAATACTACACACAGGGCGTATAAATTGCTACTGGGGTCCAGATTCCCCTGGCTAGGGAATATATAAATCGCAGTATAAATCACACAGGTTAGGTTGGTTTATTGGTGAGGACGCATTGTACGATTATTACAGGGGATATGGATTATGTGAAATCCCATAGATTTTTACCGAGCGGTGTGTTTGATTCTCGTAGGGGTTTTCAAAAATTGGCGCGTCGGTCCGTAGACTTTCAAAGACGCCTATTTTAAGCGTTTTTTCTGCTTGTTTTACATTGGGGCTTGTCAAATCACATCAAGATTGTCGGCTGGAGAATGCGACGGAGATCATCAGATTCATTCTCATCACACGAGAACAAATCTGATATATACATAGTCAAGGAAGACCCGATTGTCCTTTTTGGAAAATTAATCCTTTTCTCAGCGGCGTTTCTGAACAAATGTCAAATATCCCGGTGGAGAAGAGGGTAGTGGGTTACTTTCGAACTAATTTTGATATTTTTCTGCATGAATTCCACTGCTTTCAACGATTCTAGGCGTTGTTCCTTGTGCAAAAGAATCATTGAGGAGATATGATCATCTCCATCGACAATCTTGATTTGATAGTCCCGATAGCAGGGGAGGGCATGAAGTATATCAGGGAAATTATGGGGTAAAACAGGCTGAAATAGAACGAATACATAAGCGCAAAAACACCAAAAGTCTACGGACCGGCGAGCCGACTTTCGAAAAACTCTACTGGAATCAAACCCACCGTCAATGCAAGACATTATACATTTGGAGACAGTCAATGCAATGAAAATGGCGAAGAGTTCCAAAATTTTGTGAACAATAGATCTATGACCGTATATGATACAGACAGGGAAACTCACGTGGCGGGGGGCAGGCTAGATTATGTAATAGGAAGGGATCTTGTGCATGGAAACGTCAGCAGCATGATTGCAACAGAGCTAATTAGTGATCACTTTGCAATAGTAACGAGATATGCTGTTGATAATGGTCTATCTGCAAAAACAAATAGGCTCAAAATCTCTATTCTTCCTTACCTTGAGCACCACTTTAAAGCACGTATTTATGACTGGTATAACGATTACACAGTAACGAGTGTTGATAAATTCTCCATGGACATGACAAAAGTGGTCACTGATTACTACAACACCTGGGTCTGTCCAAAGAAAACCTCAAAGAGCAACAATTCACAACGCCTAAAACAACCTAAGTGGGTCAGTGACCCTACACTATTAAGAACAAAAAGCGAGTTCAGGAGCTTCTTGATATTTACAAGCAGGACAATACCCATGACAATCTTCTTCAGTTTCTTAAGGCTAACAAAACTATTAAAAACATTTCAGAAAAGAACACTTTGAACAGTTCCTACAAAGCATTAATAACTACACCTCAATGTCTGAGGTCTGGAAAAAAAATCAAATGACTCGGGTAAACCAACTAACACCCCGCAGTTTCATAATCCTCCTGCACGAGCAGACATGCTCCTTAGTCAAATTGAATTCACTTCCCACAAATATTCAGAACCACCTTAGTCATTCTAAAATTGCATGTAAATTTGCCATTGAGATTGGATGTTCTGAGACCGACCCTTCAGACTTTGCTGAGATTACTGAGTGGGAACTGAACAAAGGAAAAGCGTCTGCACGAGGTGAAGATGGAATTACTTATAGTGTCCTCTGCCTTATAGCTCAGGTACCTGGTAATCCCCTTTTGCACCTGTGCAGGTTAAGTTTGTCACAAGGCATTCTGCCTGGCCTCTAGACGTGCAGTCTAATCATCCCTATACCGAAACCAAACTGATAAATACCGCCCAATTTCACTAACCTCATGTGTATGCAAAGTTCAAGAAAGGATAATTTTGAACAGACTCAGGTACAGGTTGCAAGGTATATTATCTCAGACTGTACAAATTTCTATCAGGACGTAGCACACAACATTGCTTTGCAGAGTACTATTCAAATTCTAATCCAGGGAAGCACACTGATTTTCTTGACCTTAAGTTAGCTTTTGACATTGCAAACAGAGAAATTATCCTAGAACAATTAGTAAGCTTTGGCATCCGGGGTAAATTATTAAGCTGCATTAGAATGTATCTTTCAAACAGATCTGCAAGTGTCTTGTTCAGGGGAGTGAGTGCAAAATTGGGGCAGCACTACACAAACGGAGCTGGCAGGTATACTCCTTGCAATTAAATTCTTAAGGTCTCAGGGCTCTGGAATAGTTTTCTGTGACTCTCAGAGTGCTCTTCGGACACTATATTCTTCAAAGCAGATGGCAATGAGGAAATTGAGTTGATTAATGTGTAACATATCTCGAGCGCAATTTCAACATTCAACTTGTATGGATACCATCTCATGTTGGCATATGCAAGTACGACCACGTAGACAAATCGGCGAAGGAAGCCTGCAGCAAAGATACTGTGAACATAGATCTTGGGATGCCTCTTGCTAGGGTTGCACATATATTGCAAAGTTTTCATAAGGAAGAACTAGATCTGACGAACACTCAAAGGCCTAAAAGCTGTACCTTAAAGCACTACGATCATTATAGATATAGCAAGCCCTCCTATGGGTGGCACCGAAGTCGAACCAGACAAACCAAGACAAAGTTCGGTCAATATGTAGAAGAGGGTAGTGGGTTACTTTTGAAACAATTTTGATATTTTTCTGCATGAAATCCACTGCTTTCAATGATTCTAGGCATTGTTCCTTGTGCAAATGAATCTCCATCGACAATCTTGATTTGATAGTCCTGATAGCAGGGGAGGGTATGAAGTATATCAGGGAAAGGTAATTGTTAGCGAGAGCGACGCCCCCTCTCAGAGACTGAGTTTCAAAATGAGATTTTTTTGAAGTTTCCTCTACCCAACGATCTTGGGGGATGCGTGGGGAACCGGGGATTGAAGGGGGGGGGATAATGGATGGCGCTGGATGTCGATAGAAACCTGCAGAAATCGAAGAAAGTGCTTTAAGAAACGTAAAAAAGTAGATTTTTCGAAAACCCGAGCCAAATTTCCGTCCCGAAAAGCACAAAAAACGATGAAAATCGGCCTGTGAAAACTCTACGGACATCCCCGCCACAGTTGAAACTCTACGGACCGGCGCGCCAATTTTCGAAAAACTCTACGGGGATCAAACCCAGCCATCGGTAAAAATCTACGGGATTTCAGATAATCCAGATCCCCTGTGGTAATCGTACAATACGTCCTAACCAATAAACCAACCTAACCTAACCCTGTGAGATTTA